GCAGAACAATGGAATGGGGGGGGGAAGGCATGGAGGGCAACCATGGATGCCAGGGACAATGGGGGAGGAGGATGGGACATAGCAGAGGGTGGGGGATGGGGAATCAAGGATGGCAAAACAAAAGGCAAGGTATGCAGGACATAAGAATTGGAAAATTATTTGCTGAGAACATGTATGTTGATGTGCTTGATTGAGCCAATGCACAGTGTATTTTGGATGGAAAATTCATTTGTGTGTTGTGATGGTGTATAGTGAATTAATGTAGAAAATGAATAAATTAAAAAAAATACTGTCTCAAGTGTTTCTATACTGAATATCATCAGACAATATGTCATCAACTGGAACTTAAATAATTTTATTACACAGTTAATAGTCATTATACCAAGAATATAAAAGATCCCTAATGTATGTCATCAAATCTAAGATACCACTAACTGAAAAAGGCATTATTCTGTATACTATTAAGAAAAACTACTGCCAATGAAACTGACATAATGTTCTTTAAATCACTGACTGAAAAATGCATCATGATTTCAGAGATATTGGAATATGAAAAACTGTGCACCTCAGAATGGGCTGGATATAACAACTGTCATTATCGCCTTCATTATGCATAGCACTAGCCAGATGTTATGGTGTATTCCCTGTTTTTTCCTAGGGAAAACAGTCCTCTTCTGAGAGACAGTAAATAAATGAAATGAAACAATTATTGAACATGGTACACAGATTTTATATAATGAAAAGAAATCTACTTTCTTTTCTGTCATTTATTATAGTAACCAGTCCCAAATAACAGGGCTCCTTGAGAGAAGAAAAGCTGTAAAATATGGACCACAGTCCTTACATGAGGACTTTCAGAGAACGACGGGGTATGTTGACAAGGCTATTTAATCTTGGAGAATAGATTCCAAGTTACCTTCCAGTTGGCTGGGAGCATGGGAGAGAGAGAGGAAATAGAGAAGTCTATTTGCTTCCTTTCTCCCTGCCCTGCCAGCCATGTGGTGGTGCCAGTCCTGTTGTTTCTTTAGACTTTCCAGTTACCAGAATCATTAGCCACTTAAACTTCTATCCTTTAAAAATCACCCAGTCTCAAATATTTCTATTCAGCAACACAAAATGAATACACCTTGTTACCTATAAACAGTGACAGAAGCTGGAGACAATGCAGCCATGGCCCACTGGAGGGCAGCTTCCCAGGCCTCACAGGGAGAAGCCCTCAGGTCTCTGACTCACTGCCTTTTGAGAATGAAGGCACTGGGCTTTCTGGGAAGTTCTCTTTGCCATTCTCGTCAGGGTGGGTTGGGTTGGGCTGAAGGAAAGGGGGTTTTGTCCCTAATTCCTGACTATTCCAGAGACTGCCTACCAGTGGCCAGTAACTGGTAAAATCCCAGTACAATGCTTTGTGCTTTCTATGAAGAACAGAAGGCCAGTCCTGGGATGTACCAGTCCTTTGCTGGCTGATGCTGCAGGCCCAGCAGAGGCATATTCCTGCAGCTATCTTTAGGAGGCTCAATAATATACTCTTATCTTTTTGTTTCATATCTGTATTATCTTTTTTCAATTTTTTTCATTATGGACAACTGTAAACTTTTTTAAAAGTACACAGAATAGTTTAATGAACTCCACAGTGCTCATCACCCAGTTTTTTTTTTTTTTTTTGGGGGGGAGGGGTTTTTTCCGCTTTAGGGCGCGTGCACTCGCCAGACAGACAGAGACAGACAGAGAGACAGAAAGCGAGAAATCACCCCCCAGGGGGGATGGTCACGCCGCAATCCCTTCTCCTCCATTCTCCTCTCGGGATCCTGGGCACGCACGCACATGTGCCCGGCGTGAGTTTTAAGCCACCGGATCCGGGACACGAACCGCGGTCGACTACGTGGGAATCCAGCGACATAGCCATTACGCTAACTGCTGGTTCCCATCACCCAGTTTTAATAATAATTAGTTCATGGACAATCTTGTTTCACCTCTATTCCACCCCTTTCCCCATGACCATATTATTCTGAAGCACATCCCAGACTTCCTATCATTTCTCTCTTGACTATTTCAATCTAGACAGTATCTCTGAACTACCCTCACTGTAAAATTACGGTGTTTGTGGCTTCATCCCTCCTTTTTCTTCTACCTCCAGATTCTTTGGACAAAATCCCAGCCTCGGGCAATTCAATCCTCTAACACCACACTGTGTAGACTGGGATGGAAAATGCATGGTCTCCAACCTCAGCTTGTCTTTAGCACTGGTCAGCAATTGTGGCAATATCCAAAAATGCTGCCAGCATCTTTATACAAGTTACAACATCCTTCCCCCCCTTTATTCATGACAGAGTGCATATGCATGTGAGAGAGAGAGGGAGAGGGAGAGGCAGAGGGGGAGGGAGAGAGAGAGAGGGAGAAAAATGCAGAGTGTCTGCTCATACTGCAACGCTCCCCCCCACCCCCAAACTTGCCGGCTCCTGGAAACATGCACACATGCCCAGGATGTTTCCGGTCACAGGCTGTGGAGGTGAACCATGGTTGCTGCATGACGTTCAGCTCAGTTCCACAGTCTGCACCACCATGGCTGGGTCAAAAGAACTTCTGACACTACCTGAAAGCTCTTGAACCAAGAACTATGCATCCATCCAGACACACCTATGGAGTACCTACAATACAGCCGAGTAACACCGTGCCATGACACCGAGGACACTGAAATAGAAAGCATAGTCCTTACCGTAAGGAAATCTTTGCATAGTGAAAGAGGAAAATCCAGGTTGCAAAGGCACAAATGAGGAAGTGGCGTTGTGGTGGGT